TAAGTCCATTCCTGTCTAAAGGCATTGTTCAATGAAAGAACAAAAAGAGCTATAAAGCCTGAATACTTCTGTTAATTGGAGACTGGAAGAGGTCGAGTACACTCTGACAAACAAGCATTAAAACCCCTACAAAATTCCGTTTTCACCACTGCAGGTATAGGGATTAAAGGTCCCGAGTTTTGAGAATAGTGCAGTGTGGGAGGTGGGGAATTCACTAATACGCACCATCCTCTGCATGGGCAGTTTCATAAATAGTTAAGGAAGAGTGGGGGTGGTATTTGGTTTGTGGTTTCGATCATAAGTTCTTTCTACTAAATTGGTCAGCTCAGCTCCCTCTAGCACCAGTGGCTTTGAAAGTGTGGCTCGCATAGGTTATGACTGATCAAAGATTTTGCTAGAAGACCTTCCACATCCTCGAGCATTGGCTTCTCTCAAGGCCATAGATATTGTCAGTTGTATCAGGCCTTTCTTTAATTAAGACATTATATGCCCATAATCTACTTGCTTTAGTCATCTAATTACATTTTGCTGTTGCTTCCTGTCATTCAGTTCGGACTAGTACTGCTCTTTTGTTTCTTGATCTTTGTTTTTCATTTTCTGAGCCAAGCTGAGAAAATACCTTTTGAAAGCAAGATGTGTCTTTGGTAGTAGAAAAAATGCACTTCCCATTCAAAATTTTAATCTAGATGTTTCATATTGGAGCAAAGCCATAATTCATTGCCCACAAATTATGGCCAATCAACCTTCCTTGGAAAAGTGCTGTTAATTTTTTGGCTTAGTTATTTTGCCATTGAAATCAGGGAGAATTTTGCTTTTAACTTAAATGGGTGCAGGATCATGGTTTTGATTAGAACACATGACCATGTCAAATAAGCTCTTTTAATATACCCATTCTACTGAGAAGTGCTGTTGTGTTTTGTTTTTCCTTTTACATCATCGTGAGAAGCACTTAGAGCAGGGTGGTTGCTATAGATAAGACAGTAGATACTAATCTTCCTTTGAACTATCGTGAGGGTCTTGTTGGACTCTTGTCTTGCTGAGAAATCAGACCTTAGCTGATTTTGCCAGATAAATATTTTTGTCGTCAGACATCCCGTCAAGGGTTTGTGGTAAGTTAGTGAGTCAGGTAACCAATGCAAAGCACTGAGCTAACATGCAGAAACAAGCTGTGGTTGTTTTTATTCATCATCCTTCAACAAGAGCTTTTACAGATAGGAGGGCAAAATGATTCACATGAAACAGAAACTGGCCTGAACATCCACCCAAATAAAACTGAAGTTTATAATCAAACAACTAGCATTTGTGTTGTGCAATATTAACTCTGTGTTCTATCTGTACAAATATTCAGTGTCTTTTTTCTGATAACACGGTATGAAATTATAAATCTTATCAATGCTTTTGCTTTTACGCTCATAAAAAAATATTAATATTCCAACAGAAATCCAATGTGATACCAATCAGCTGTGAAAGCACTTAACAAAATTCATCTGCAGTAGATGGTCTTCAATGAGAAGCCATTAAGCAAATTTAGCTCTGCAACAGTGGCATGTACTTTCTTAATGTGCCAGCAGAATTTCATGCATGTGCAGCTTATTCAACATTCATTTTCAGGGAGGTCAAAATAGTGGTTTCACCATGACCTTACTTTTTCTTCAATATCAGTTGAAGGTTTTTTGTTGTTGTTGTGAGATTGATTTTTTTTTTATTAGATCCATTCAGTTCTCAGGAGGTGAGTAACATGAGTCCAAGCCTACTGCGTGAACATGAAAATTCAGACTCTCTTCTAAGCTATGATAATCAGGCCTGCCAAGAAGTAATAGAGGTGGCGGCCAGGACTCCGGTCCCCTCTAAATTGCCACCAGAGCACCGAGCCATGTGCTCCAACCAATGCTAAGGAGATGCTGAGCTCTAGACAGCACTGGCGGTTGGCTGCCCTCATCCCTTCCCCTTCTAGGAGCGCTGAGCCTCCTCCTCTCATTGCCCAGGAGCCCGAGGAAATTGTCAGCTGTGCTGCTGCTGCTAATTCTCAGTACTGTACAATCACTGTGCAGGCTCTTGTTCTAGCCTTGTTATTATTATGTTTGCATTTTTCAGCTTCAATTATCTGGAAACAAACTAAAAATTCTCACACACACACACACACACACACACACACACACACACACACACACACACAGTGTCTAGACTACATCCCTCTTTCGACAGAAGGATGTAAATTAGACACTTTGAAATTGCAAATGAAGCAGGGATTTAAATATCCTACGCTTCATTTGCATAATTGCATCATGGCGCTCTTTCGAAAAAACGCTATTTCGAAAGTGAAACTGTGGTATAGACGCAGTTCTTTTGAAAAACAGCAGGCTTTTTCGAAAGATCCTGTACTCCTCAAAAAAGCCTGCCATTTTTTGAAAGAATCATGTCTAGACTGCGGTTTCACTTTCAGAATAGCACTTTTTTGAAAGAGCGCCGTGACGTGATTATGCAAATGAAGCGTGGGATATTTAAATCCCCGCTTCATTTGCAATTTTGAAGTGTCTAATTTACATCCCTTTGTAGAAAGAGGGTTGTAGTCTAGACACAGTCACACAGAAAATCTTCAGTGCAGGTTCTGATTCTTTTATTATGTGTTCGCAGATTTTCATTTTCAGTTATCTGGAAATGAGCTTAAAAAAAACCCAAACAAATCTAGGTTCTGACTCTTCAAAAGGAAAAGCAGATTTTACCAGTAAAATGAATATTAGTCTGTCTAGAGCAGAGTGATGTTATTATTTTAAGGCAGGAGTCACTGAATTGATTCATGACAACTTTTTATTTGGGAATTATGCTTTGAATTTATTATGGATTTTTAAATCGCCATAATAAATTTATGTAAAGAAGTCTGCCACAAAATTATTCTTTTTAAGCATTTGCTTGAATTTATCTAAGATGAACCAAATTTCTCTTGACAAACTGAAGAGAAAACAAAAACCCTAAGTATTATGCATATTGTTAAATTAGCTTTTAGCACTTCATGGAGTGGAAGAGAAAGAGGAAGGAAAGAAAGAATTGCAAAAGCACTGAAGTGAAAAAACATTGATGGCAGAATACAACATGTTTACTGACTCGAGCCACTAAAATAATGGAAATTACCTATCCAAAACTCTCTTCTTTTGAACTGATTTACCAAATTAAGTGAAAATGTTTTGTTACTTTTACTGTTTAATTAATATTTAAAACCAGCTTCTCATGATCATTTAGGAGAGTGCTGAAGAAAACACACAAACTGACATTGTGAAGTAACAGGAAGAATTGCAAACTCATCTTTTCTAATTAAATCTATTCTGTAAACGATGAAATATGAGAAACATTGGAGATAAAATTTTGTTATTTTTCACACTGAAGAAAGAATTTCTTTGAAGGAGTACTGGCTACGAATAGACCAAAATAGGTCCAGAGAACACGGCTTCAAAGTTCAGATAAGTTGTGGTGAGCCAGAATAATAGTAAATTAGTTTTTATATCACAATTTTAAAAAAAAGAAAAGAAAGAAGAACATGCACTAGCAGAATTTACATTGGCTCCCTGCTTTTCTGCCCATTGTCAAAATGATCAACTCACATTTTGTTTCATATGCTTCTCTTGGGAGTTTAGTATTAGTGTTGAAACTGGGACCACATGCTGAAATTCTCATTTAGTTTTCATTCATGCAAAAATACTGAAATACTGGCTTTGCTGAGCATGTTGGCTCTTTAAGGATTAAACAAGTAGAAGATTTAAATATCCAACTCTGGAAGAGGGAAACAAGTGATGTTTGTTCATATCTGTCCTTTTTTTTAAAATACTGGTGTATCTAACTTTTAAAAACTCTGCTACAGCACATGTCTGACACAAACCTGATCCTGCATAGACCTACACGTCATTTTCCTTGTGCGTGTATAGATGTTTTCAGACTTGGGCCTTAATTGTCATTTCACAGGTAAATTTCTGTGTAACCTGCTAGGTATTAAATAGTGAGGGTAAAATTCTTCCCAGGTACAATTGAAATGAATGGAATTATACCAGGAATGAATTATGTCGTGACCAGAAGTGATTAGAAGCATGATTAAGTTGATCAGGACTTGGCCCTGTTGTATTTAGTGGGGGGAGAGTGAATAAAGAAGGGGCAGCAAACAAACACTGATGGGATCCTTGTAGATACAAATTCTTTCCTACCTTTTGTTCTGAGGACTTCTAAGAAACAGTGGTAGAGTGAAGAATTAAGATGGTATTTGGGTCACAAGGGCAATGCAATTTTTACCTACTAGAGGTTTACAACTGCAATGTTGCATTTACGTCAAAGGGTGGGAAGCACCCACTTTTGGCATACAAATTCCCAGGAAAGGCTAATGCAATGTGGGAGCAGTTCCTTGCCTTAAACTTCTGTAAATCTCTTCAGTTTTTCAGACAATGGGCCAGATAGTAGTTTGGTGTAACTTCATTGACTAAAAAAAGGAGCTATGATGATTTACACCAGCAGAGAATCTGGCCCTGTGTCTTCATTGTCTCTGAAATGCATTGTGCACACCTCAGATGTGGTTGTCTGGAGAACAGTAATCATTACCTTGAAAAGGGAGCACTGAGTTGGAAAATCAAAACCGTGTGTATTTAGGGATAGCTCCTGGTTTAATCTTCAGGTGGGAGAAGGAAATTTACTACTTTTGTAAAAAGCCAGAGCATTAGATTTTGTTGAGCTGACTACCAGCAGGAAGATGTTAGGGAGGTGCATTCAACACCCCTAGCCTGAGGCTGTGCTCTACCTTTCCCCCCTTCCCAGCCTCGTCATACGCACCAGGCTCGCTACTGTAATTTGTGAGCTATCACAAGCCCTCTGTGGTGCTTGTGTGAGTTGTTTCTGGCCCTAAATCTGACATTCTTTCCCACTCCACAAAGCTAAAGTAAACTGGCTTTGCCTGGGGAACTTCTGCAGTAGCTAGAGGAGAGGAAAAGGTACCCTCAGCTCAGAGCCAAAGGATGGAGAAGCCATAATTCGCTCTATGCCTGTACATACAATTCTTCTGGCTCCATCCCTTCTGCTCCCCATCTCACAGACTTCTCATCCATCCCCATGTGAAGAGAG